ACGCACACACACTCACATACTCACACGCACACATACACACTCACATACACACACACGCAGACACACACACGCAAACACACACACGCAAACTCACACACATACACACCTTTCAGACTAGAAGCTCCTGTTAGCGTGACGACCAGCAGACAGCTGCAAATCAGCAGTCTGAATGTCAAAAACGCCGGTGTCTACACGTGCGTTGGGGTTCTGTACGACCATAATAATAATAATAATAATAATAATTATAACATTAATAATGGAGATTTTAATAACAAAGAAATTCCTGATGAAATGAAATTTCATTTGAACGACATCAACAACAACAATAACATCAACAACATTAGCAACAACAACAATAATAATAACAACAACAACAACATCAACGACATTATCAACAATAACAACAACAACAACAACAGCAATAATAATAATACAAATAACAACAACGTCAACAACAACAGCAACATCAATAAGAAAATTAGCAACAACAACATCAACAACATCAACAACAACAGCAGCAACAACAACAACAACACAGAACAACGCAAACACAGCAGTTACTTTAACTATAACATCAGAAGAAATATAGGGATTCATAATAATAATAATATTAATAATAATAACTACAACAGCAATAACAACAACAATATTAGCAACAACAATATTATTAATAATAATATTAGCCCAATAAAATATCAATTGAGTTACACAACGACGATTCATGTTGCATGTGAGTTCTTTGGATGTTTTATCATTGTTGTTGTTCTCAATCTTCCAGGTCTCCAGGTCAAATCTTCATTGTTTTGATGAATAAACGAATTGTGAATTGTGAATTATTATTATTGTTTTTATTATTATTAATTTATTGTGGATATTTTGTTATGTTTTTATTATTTATGTTGTTGAATTATTGTGTCCAATCGATTTCACACATACCCGTGTTGTGTATATGAGTGCATCTAGGCCGAAGAGTTGGTTAGGTCATCTTCTTCTAATAAGTTATCATCTTCTCTAAGTTATAAATGCATTTATTCATTAATTTGTTCGTTCGTTCGTTCATTCATTCATCCATTCATTCATTCATTCATTCATTCATTCATTCATTCATTCATTCATTCATTCATTCATTCATTCATTCATTCATTCATTCATTCATTCATTCATTCATTCATTCATTCATTCATTCATTCATTCATTCATTCATTCATCCATCCGTTCATTCATTCATTCATTCTGTCATTCATTCATCCATCCATCCATTCATTCATTCATTCTGTCATTTATTCATTCATTTTTTCGTTCATTCATTCATTCATTCATTTATCATCTATTCATCCATTCATCCATCCATTCATCCATCCATTCATTCGCTTCTTCGTTTATTTATAACCCACTTAATCTTTAAATTAATTTATTCACAGACTTAGACTCTTTCAGCAACTCGTCCACCCACCCACCACCCTCCTCCACCTACGTCATTGGGGTCAAAGGTCGTGTGGAGGTCACGTGTTACCCGCCGCATGGACTGCCCTGTCCCCACATTTTGTTAGTGCTGTATTTTCATTTTTATGTGTATTTATATTTTTGTATGTTTGTGGATGTTCGTGTGTATGTGTGTGGTGTGTTTGTTTGTGTGTGTAAGTTAATGTTTGTGTGTGTGTAAGTTAATGTTTGTGTGTGTGTATTTGTGTAAATTGATATTTTTTATCTCTGCTTGCTGGTATTCATTTTTTTTTTGCTTTTGTATTTATGCGTACGTATCTTTATATCCGTTCGCCGGTTTGTCTGTCTGTCTGTCTTTCTGTTTTTCTGTCTGTGTTAAAATTCTCTTTTGTGCCTGTGTGTGTTTTTTAGAAGTTACCGTTGAAATTTTCTCTTGGCGATTACATTTGGTACAGGATTAAATTAGAAGTACAATTCTCACTATTGCCATCATGTATGTCATCATTATCATCATCATCCCCATCGTCATCATCACCATCCTCATCTTCATTATCCCCATCATCCCCATCATCATCGTCTTCATCACCATTTATGTCGTCATCTTTATTTCCCCCACTCCCACACCCCCCATCAACTGGCAGCTGGCTAAATCCGTCCAATGAGAAGTTAGGTGAGGAAGGTCGAGTGAGGTCTAGCACTTCCGGTCACATGATCATCGAGTCAGCTGAGGAGAGGGACGCGGGCTGGTACACGTGTGTGGGGCAGAATGTCGTCGGGAGGAGGCAGGTCAAAGTTCAACTCTTCGTTACTGGTATAGCGCTTCATTAAACTTTTTAAATGTCATCTTTTACTTTTTTTCTCAGAGTTAATTGAATAATTATACTTCGGCCAGGATTGAACAGTATTTTTTTTATTTAGAAAAATTAAATTTTTTAACCGTATTAATTAATTAGTTATAGCTGATCCTACTGTTACAGACGTGAAGGCAAGATAAGAATTGGTAATAAGAAATTAAAGTGAAGCGCTTGATAATTTAATTAAGAGGCGGAACCAATGAAAACCGTATTGTAAAATGTCGATGATTGTAAAAGAAAGCGAGGTATAAATAGACCGACAACAAGAACGATAAGGAAAGAGAAAGGGAGAATAGAAAAAGAAGAGAGAGATACAGAGAGAGGAGTGCACGAAATAGCAAGGAACGACGAGAATTACGAAGAAGTCAGAAGAAGTTTCAGGCAGTCCTATTATCGCAGAGATATTTTGTGTGCGTATTGCAAACAAATTAGCGATAACGCCCAAGGAGAAGTTTGTCACGAAGAATTCTACACGCGGTCTGCGAGTGAATTACGATAATCTTCCGAGAAGTGGATACTTAGGATTTACGGTCAAGAAACATCTGACGAGAAGAGCTTAATTATTGACGATTAGTTTTATCCTGTGATTTAACTGTTGATTAATTATTGTTTTGTATTCCAACGATTTTAACGATCGAACGAACGAGTGATCGATTACGGCAATTGCCAGCTCTGTTTTCTTTCTAATAAAGTCATCTAAAATAAGTCTGTTTAGGAATCAAGAATCCGCGTAAAGAGAAATAACCATACCCTACAAGTTCAAGGGGTCGGTTATAACAATACATTCATTCACTTATGAATGAATGTATGATCGTTGAAAAACGTTAAAAAACGTTGTAATTTATTGTCAATTAATTAATTAATTAATTAATTTATTTATTCATTTGTTCATTCATTCGTTCATTCATTCATTCATTCATTCATTCACACGTTTATATATAACAATTTCCATCACATCCATCATACTTCATCCGTTCCTTCTTCCATTTTCATTCACCAATCTAACATACACTCCATTTGACCTCCACCTTATTAGTGCCGCCGAAAGTTCAAAGGTTATCCTCAGTGGTGACCTCGCATGAAGGTCAAGCCGTGACCTTGGAGTGCAAATATGTGGGCAGTCCTTTGCTCTACACTGAAATCAGCTGGAAGATGGATGGACAAATTATGGATGTCGGTGTTGATGATGATTTAACTCTGGTGATGATGATGATGATGTTGATGATGATGTTGATGAGGTTATGATGATGATGTTTATGATGACGAGGATGAAGATGATGATGATGATGAAGATGATGTTGATGATGATGTTGATGAGGTTATGATGATGATGTTGATGATGATGTTGATGAGGTTATGATGATGATGTTGATGATGACGATGATAAGATTATGATGATGATGATGAAGATGATGAAAGAATGGTGACTAAGATGTGGTCTAGATATTTTGATTCGATTATTTATTTGGTAATTTTGATTAGGAAAATGACATCACAACGGTTGAAAATGAAAATTTAATTTCTTTAAAATTCAATGAAAAATTGTTTTTTTATGTTTCCTAATTATAACCTGCCTAGCACTGATAAGCAGCATTCGAACCGACATTTTTAATAATTATCGACTTTCTAGATCGAGTCGAATACCGATCGGTTCGAGGTACATCGCAACAAACTGACCATCCTACACGCCCAGCCCTATGACGTAGGCTCCTACGGTTGCATCATCGTGACGCAACAGCAGACGCCTGTCAACCTCCACATTGCTCAACTTTACGTCATCAGTCAGTATTTAATTTCTAAATTTTCGTCTTTTATTGGCTCTTAGAAAAAAAAATTTGGGCTTTTTCAGAAATATTGATCGAAATGCATTACACCAGAGAGTAGATGTGATATTTTCCAACAAATATCCATCAAAAAAAATTAAATAAACAAAAAATTCAAAATAGTGTGTGAAAATTGATTCATTTAACAAGTGTCGGAACGAATGCTCGGAATTATAAAGTAAAAATCGAATCGTTTCAGATTGAAAATTTTTAATGTGATTTATGTAACATGTTAACCGATTGAATTTTCAAGTGAAATCTATTTTTAATCCATTTTTTAATCATTTAAAATCTATTTTTAAACTATTTTTTAATCTATTAAAAACTTTGTCCTTCCTTTAATGATAGAATTATTCTTTTTCGTTGTTGTTAATGATATGTTTTCTTAAAATGAAAACCTCGAATCATTAACGTGTCTGAATGTCTTCT